GAGGTGATGATTTCCAATTTTTCCAAGCAATGTTTGCTTTTCTTAGCACTTTTTTCCTATACACTTCTGGTACACCATACTCATACTGCAATAATAATGAGAGAAGATATGTTACATAACTTAAGAAATAAATCAAAAAATTCAGGCCATTTACTTACAACAACATTGTTCCATATGCTATTCTTGATAATGGAATTGACATCCTTCCATGATTTGATTGGAAGAGGTGGACAATGTGCCTTCACAATTTTTCCAACTATAGTTGAAAACTTCTCTGATCCGAGACCTACGGGCTGCCCATATTCGTTGAATATGATTTCCTTTTTTGTACCTAACAAAAGAATCCATAGTTTCAATAATTACTCTATAACAAACTATTAAAAGAAGTCAATGTGTAAATAAATGATAACCTGACTCACCATTCATGTTTCTATCACTCCATGGATTCATTTTCATCATTTGACATATTAAAACTATCCAAGGTACAACATATATAATAAGATTTTATGATTTTTGAAACAAAAATGTTTGAATGTAAACAGTTAGCACAATGAGTCCTCTATTTTGATAAATCATCCTCCATGCTAATAAATGTACAATTAAACCTAAGATCAACACTAAATACACGTACTATACCTCAAATGATATTTACATGGTGCTTATTGGTATAAATAGTGGACTCATGTGTCAAAACTATGTCACACATGATGTAACTAATCTAAAACTCAAAATCATAAGTTGACACACATTATCTATTCCGTAAATGAGTGGTAATTATCTTAAATCAATCCACTTTAATTTCCAAAGGTAGCCTCCAGCCGAAAAAAACTAATATGGGAGGCTGGGAGTTGTAAGAGTACATAAAAAAATGAAACAGGGTGTTTTTTTTCTTTCCAAGGAAGGACTCTTGTTGTGACTTATGATTGGGGGTAGATTCTTTTTATAAAAATTGATATATGAAAAAATGAAGTTCACAAAGTATTAGCCTTTACTATCTACACTTTAATTCTAAGACTTGATTAGAACTACTCAGACATTTACATCGAAGAGATTAATTTAATTTATCACACTTACTTTTTTTCTTTTTATTGAGCTAAAAGACATCAACTTTAATCAAACCCTGGAAGATATTAAGTCAACTCAACCTTTTCAATCCATAACCAAACAAATAGCATTTTAAATCAACATATCAAGAACACAAGCCTGCAAATCTCAAATGAGCCCTACAAGAGAAGACAAAGTCAACTTAACTCAAAGACTTGAAGTTCACCACTAGAGGCTCGTAATTCAACAGAACTACACCAGACACTCAATATATTCAATTATGTAATCAGTACATCCTAATCCAGGTAAGCAAACTAAATTCAACAACCTGAATTTCTACACACACAAAAACATCTCGCAAGGAACGAGAGGTGACTTCACAGATCATCGTTAGCTAAAATATACTAATGATTTAATTTATCACAGTTCATCTACATAAGACTATGGGTACTTTTATCAAACGGTTAGAGGGCATAACCAGAGTTGCATACCACCCAATAGAAACGAGCAGCCATACCTGCTGATTTTGTAGATATCAAACTATCAAGTAAACTTAGATGACCTTTCTATAATGAATAAACGAGTGAAATAAAAGCTAGGTATTGACGCTATTGTACTTGGTTGGGTTGTACTGCGCTGAGTGCGCTCTTTCTCGTCTCTCTCTTTTGCACGAACTGTCTTTAGGGCAAACTGAAGTAGAGTAACAGGTCGTAAATTAGGTTTATCAAATAAAAAAAATTGTGAGCGGGATTTGTTTTTGGTTTGGCGCCCAGAGAAGATTGGAGTGAAAATGATATTTCATTCTGAAATGGTATCTTTGATTTTGATAGAGCGTGGGCACGTAGAGATGGAACGATAAATATGGGCTCGAAATTTTGGATTTGGCCGATGGAGAGAACAGCTTGACCGGTTTTTCGATACATATGGGCTTGGTACGGTAGTCCTAATAAGTAAACAAGAGCTTTTCGATACAATTATGTAGTCAAAATTAAGTTGACTATTTTTGTGAGTCAATTTTAAAAAGTTGAAAGTGTCGAAAATATGCAGTTTTGGCGTAGTGGGTGCAAGCATGAGGTTTTTTCTGGTTTAGCCATGCAACAAAGGTAACTTGTTAATCTTTATTTTCTTTTGTAATCCTTCATCTCCTCCATCTTTCTTGGAAAGAATTAGTAATAGTGTAATCAGCGGGGTGGTGTGTATATTCTTGGGAATGTTGACATGTTGGATGGTTTAATTTGTGTTGATTAAATTCGGTTTTACTTGTGATTCACTAGTTCGTCATCAATAATTTCTTGACTGGCCAGATGTTGAAATCCTTTCTCCGTAAGGAGCTCTGCTTTCTAAGCATATCGGGATGAATTCATGCTAAGCGGGTAACTGATTCTTGTTATGGGGTTACACTACATGTGTCGAGAATCTCATCTCCGAAAAGGGGCTCTGCTTATCTTGCGAATCACCCCGTGTGAGAGTTGAGTATGCACAGTAATGAGATAAACTCCCAGGCCCTAGAGCTTGGATCAAACCTGTAATCCAGAACCTGGTTAAACTTTAAAAAAATTGAATCACAAGCATACTGGTTTTATCATACAATTCTCAGGTTTTTGGAATGATTGGTGGTTTTGATTTCACTCACCTACACTGTTTGGACCATCATGCTTTTCTTTACATTTTAGTCGGTTGGAGAGGGATTTTACTTTCACAAATATTGTTTAACATATGAATCTTGGGTTCGTTGTTAAGGAACAAAAGTCATTGTGCACTTAATTGTTCTAGGTGAATGATTTTTGAATCAGATGTTACAAATGGTTATTCTGTTTAATGCATTGTACGTTGCTTGGGGGCAAGCGACGCTCAAGTGTGGGGAGATTAAAAAAGACGTCCGAGTAGTGTGCCTGGAACTTATTCACTGCGGTTTGTCTTGTACGGTATTCTGTCAACTCTTATTATGCTGCTAAGAATGTGTGCTTACTGTCATATTACTCCTTTGTTGATTTGTATTGATTATTATTCTGATTATGATGTGCTGTAGGGAGGAAAATCATTTTATATTTAACTTGCCCATGTTATTTCCATTTTTAATCTTTTATTTGCCTCCGTATTATTGCAGCATTCAAGTGGCAGGATTCAACGACATTTATGCATCCAGGAGAGACACATTTCAGCTTTACGTTCACGGTCCCCGACAACGACGTCAAAAAAACTCCAGTTCCTCTTTTTTTCTTTTGGGCTGTTGTGCCAAATTATTCTTAAAAGAACTCTCAAAATATCCGGTCTAAACATAATATGTTATACACCGCGAAATTCAACCTGTATAATCACAACTAACTACACCTGCTAATAAAATGTAATTTTACAATTAAATTACTCCAAAAATGTCAAATCGTGTAGAAAAATACTACAGTGAAAATGAATGCCACCGGGACCGAAAAATAACAATTTTGTACTCAAGACCCCCAATAGTCACTCAATTAATTATAAAAATTAGACCATTAACACCCAAAATATGGGTGAAAAGATAGGAACGGAACGAGCCTATCAAGTTACAGGTGCCATGATATATCAATTCGAATATATTTCAGAGCTCTATACTCTCAAACTTTCAGATGGGTCGGATGACCACCATGACCCCTTGGCTCCACCCTTGCCATCATGGCATGCATGACTCCATGATGATAAGTGCATCCTCCGCGTCACATCATAAGTTATTCCAAGTCTTTTGCTTGGGTTTCTATTGCTGATAGTTTGCCATTTTTAGGGCAATGCATTCTTGTGTGAGTATGGCCGGCGGATGCGCGCCAAGACCAAGAACTTCTTATAGCTTTGGGTCAAACTAAACTATTTTCATGAAATGAAATTCTCTCCTGATTGTATGTTCACCCTTTTCTAAAATCTCTACCATGGTTTCATAATAGTTTGGCTAAAATCTGCCTTTTCTTTTAAAAGAAGATCCCACAATGTTAATAATCATGGACACGTATTTAAAGAAGTAACTCACAAACTTAATGTGTTGTGCAACAACTACAACAACTAATTACAATTGGTGAGCAAAACCATTAAGTTTTTTTTATTAAGGATAAGAGTCTTTGATCCGACAATTAAGCTCGCTACACATATATATTAGAAGCTCTATCATATTCTTTACCATAAATTTGGACAAAGATAATTCTTGTTTAACAAAAAAATAATCAATGTCACTTTTCAAAAAACATTTGGTGATGCCAATAACATGTTTAACTGTAAGGAATTGGTCTATCACTACTCGGTGACCATTAAACATGCATCTCAAACAATTGTCGTTTTCTCTTTGACAAAATTATCACTTTATCTAATCGTTATCTTTTTCATAGTTTGAGGGCATAAGTATTAATGCTATATTTGCTTTAAAAAGATTGCTTTATTTCGGGGTTGAAGCGGGGCACTTACTCTTAGCCCCATGCCACTAAGTCAGCCTAAACGTGAAATTAATTACTCTATATTAACAAATACTTTGTATTAATTGATTTGAGAATGGTAACTAGGGAAACAAAAATTGAAATTGACATATAACTAGATTGATTGGAGAATGGTAACTGAGAAATTAATACTAGTCACCCTTAAGATTGAGATATTAAGAAGTGAAACAATTATTAAAACAAGTCAAAGTATATGATTATTATTGAGTTTGTAAAGTATGATCGAATAAAGTAGGAATAAATTAAATGATCACAAATAGCTGGAGTGTCAAATGGATGAAGTATTATTTGTTTTGGTCAAATTTATTCATACAAAAGTATCTGATTCATATAAATTTCATTTATGCTTGTTTACTGGCTTATGTCTCGAAAAGAGAGAGAATATTATAAGTTTATAACATATATGGAACATAGAAGAGATGCAACTATGTGTCTTATGTCTATATACCTCCCTCTACGTGTATCACCACTAGAATGGCAGAATCAATGACAAAGCTGACTTCTCTTTTATAACATGAAACTTTGCGGCATAATATATGAAAACATTAAATCTCCAACTTCCTGATTGGACCATATAAGCAAGGTACGGTATCTTTAAGGTACTTCAGAATTTGCCATATCTATAACCCATAAAAGTAACATATTGACATATGGAGGTCTTGCCTATTTAGATTAAATTCTTCGACTTCTAACCAGCTTAATACTAATATTTCTAGCTTCTCCATGGCCGCCTCACCGTCCCTAAGCACCTCAAGGTCCATTTCAGTTGGATCAGTAGCCTGAATCTCATAATGGAAACCATCAAGCTCTCTTTTGAACCTGTCTTTGCACGTCGCGTAAAGCATTCTTGCACGAATTCCGGATGTTTGAGGAGACCTACCAAGAAACAGTACTAAAAACATTAAGCTAATCAGTAGTATAAACTGACATAGAAGATGCGTTTTCTCCAATGAGCGTTTGCTTTTCAGCGTTTTCTCCCTCAAACGCTGCAATTAGCAGCGTTGCAATTAGCAGCGTTTCATGTGTATAATTAGTGGCATTTTGGCTGAACCGCCGATATCCAAACGCAGTCAATATAAGATCTTGAATAATTCCAAATCATAAACTTGAGGATGAGTTTCCCTCAAGTGCCTAGAGGGGGATGAATTAAATGAAATTTAAGACAGCCTAGTGACTAATAGGGGCAGGGGAAGCTAATCATTCTATATCATATCTTATTAACAATATCATAGATAGGTATGGAGATGATCAGGAAAGTGATGGACCATGCAATGAAGAAAATCTTGCTCTTTTGACAGTTCTCAGCTGTGACAAAGTCAAAGTCATATACAGCATATCTGCAATCATTTTGTGGCAAAGAATCACTAAAATCACTATAGGTTTGAGCAGAGTTGCCAGTTTTCTCAACCAACACTTCCTTCTTCTTCTTCTTCTTCTTCTTCTCATCGATCTTAAAAATCACATAACGATGCACCTTCTTCCTTTGTAGCTCCAGAAATGCGTTTCTGCCGTGATCAGTAAGCACCATGCCTCCGGGAGATGCACTTGCCTGCTGAAAACAATACAACATACTGTATTATTGAACCATCATTGCAGTGTGATTTAGATACAAACCCAGCTGACCTTTTAAGTTGAATGCCAAGTCTCAATAATGTATACAAATCACTACATCAGACAATAAAGAGTATTACATAGTACTATCTATTAGACTAGTTTGGGTCTAAACTTTATTTGTTAAACATTCTACCTCTTATAATATTAATTAAACTATTCAAATTGAGATAAAAACTTGGACAACAAATAAGAAGGATGTCAAAGTTATAAGAGATTGAGCAATTTGATTTGACTGAACCTGAAAAATGATACACAAAATTCCAAGATTTGTCTATTCCAACCATATATAACGTGACCCTACAAAAAATTTACAGGATTAATGTTATCGAAAAATTCTGCATGCAATATTTTTAATTTAATATAGAAGTAAATAAAAGAAAATACTTAGTATCAACCGAGCCCAACAAAAGCGTTGTCTCCTTAAGACGTTTTTGCCCGACACACGTAGCAAGCGTCTCTATGGATAGAACGGTTCTTCGCTCCCAACGGGATTCCGGTGAACTCAAAGATGCAACGAAGGAAGAGAGAATATGAAGGATTGTGTGATGATTTTTTGGATTGATCGAAATGCAGGCAAGCATGGTTATATATAGAGCTCTGGCGACTACACCTAAAAGACACTTTTAGAAAGAAAGGTTGTGACCCTCCTTCTAAAAACAAAGGATGCGTCTATATATTGCCAAACATTATCCAAAATTGAGAGCGACTAATAGAATTATCTTTAAGCCATATACTCGGCGGACGGATAAGACTCTAACCCGAAACCCGACCCGGCCGACTGGACGGCGGCAACGGTGTTTGCGCGTGAGATATATTTTCACACTTATCTTTCGGGAAACAATTTCTCATTCATTTCAAAATGGTTTTTACAAATAATATTAATGACTATAATATTAATTTGTAAAACCATTTTCCCAACAATTAACACACATTCAACATGGATTGACCGATGATATCGCACCAAATAGCTCGTGTCAAAATGTTTTTGGCACAAATTTGGTATATCTCTGCCAAATCCTCTAAATTTTAGAGGATCCCGACCAATCCGGTGCTTTTTTGTAGCGTGATACAAACTAATGGAACTCTAATAGTCTAATCCTCAACAAATTTAATTTCATGAATCTTATTTTTATCAAGGAGATAATTAATGAAACAGGAGAGTATTTCGGAATTATTATGAAGACCCAAGCACAACAAGCTTCAAAAGATTCTTTTGAGTAGTTCAATTCAAGATCACAACTTGTTATCAAATTTGTATGGTATGAATTGAATTGAAGTATTGGGAGGGAAAAAATGAAATAATTAGTGCAGTTACATACCACTCCAGGAGTTCTGAATGACATGACAGAGCTTTGAGAGATGATGAATTCCGTAAAGGGAGGGCTGGAGATAGAAAAAGAAGATGAATAGATCAGATGAAGAATCAATAAAAGAAAAGGATTGCCTACTTCATAAAATTTTATGATCTTTGTATCTTGCGTCCTCTACTTTGCCTCTTTTTTTATAAATATGGAATACCTTGCCTTAAGCTTATGTACGGAGTATTTATACATACGCACTATACGTACTTGTATGGGACCGCCCCGGCGGTGCGTTGTAAATACGCTTCTCTTTTCTTTTCCCCAAAAGGTCTCAATCCCATTGATTAAACGGCCTCATTTGCATTTATGCTCAAAAAGGGGACACTAAAGTTAGGAACCGCCCCCTAGGGTGGCACTCAGTCGGTAACGATAACTGAATAATTGACAAATTTTTATCATCCTTATAATAGATCGAAACCGATCGATAATATCACAATTTAAAGAATGTAGTTTGATTTTAGTTGATAATTGAATATTCGACAATAACCAACCATATTAATTCTTGAAGTTTTTTTTCTTCAAAAAACCAATTGCCTTAAATAGACATGTTAGGGAAAATAGTGGTGTTTTTACACTATTAATGAAAATGAATAAATTAAAAGATCAAATATAAAATGCTTTTGCTCCATCGATGACAAAGATAAGAAGAAATGGATTATATTCCGTATTATCTCATAATAAAATTGATTAATTACGTACACTACTAATAGTTACTCCCTCCGTCCCTAAATAAACTTCCAACTTTCCTTTTTCGTCTGTCCCAATTAAAACTTCCACTTTCCTTTTTTGGCTAGAATTTGTGGTTCACAGCAATTCTTACACATTTCTCTCTCCTCTGCACAACTCTCCACCACACAATACCCACTATCTTAAACTCCGCGCCAAACCTATTTGGAAGATATAATAGGGACGGAGGGAGTATTTCTTGTTCATGAGTACGTGCCATTTTATTTCTTTTGAACCAACAACTGAATAGTTAATACATAAGATATTACTATGTAGTAAAGTAAAACATATGGATTGAAATGCCACTAAAGTTACTATGAGTATACCAATAGGATCACTATAATATAAAATTGAACATAATCATGCTTATTAAAGTTACTATCATAGTCTATAAAGTATAATTAGTCACATTTGTATCCACTATATTCATTTTGGTCATATATTAGAGTAATTGTGATATTTTATGATGTGAAACAACATAGCATACATGGAGTACATCCGCACTTTTATACATAGTAGATTGTACTTCGGATTTTGGTTAACCGACCGATAGACAGTTTATACGACCGGGATACCGCTAGTGGTATCTAGAGAGAAGTCAGAGTAATAAATAAGAGGGAGAAAGTGAGGTAGAAATAAATATTCAATTATCCGTCACAACTGCCCAAGCTATTTAGAATGCTCAAGTTTGAATTTAACTTTTAGATCATAAACTTGGCAATCAATTCTAAGTGTACAGGCCTCTTCCATTTGTTTGTATCAAGAGCATTTTGTCTATATCATAGACAATTTATCTGAAAATTAAAGTTCACAACTTCTCTGTAATATTGTATGTTAGACAGAAAAAATGTGCAAAGGCGAAAAAAAGTCCATAGAAATTTTGTGAAGAGAAAGAGAAAATAATATAAAATGAATGTAGGTAATTAACAACTACTATCTCCGTCCCACTAACGTTGGACATGAAAAAGTGGTGCGGTTAATAAAAAAAGAAGTGAGTCTTTGTTTTTAGGGAATAAAAAAAGTGAGTCTATGTAGATAATATTGAAATGACAAAGTAAGAATACAGTAAGAATGATTTAGAACCACACATACTTTACCAAATTTAATTTGGTTGAGACATCATAGTGGGAAGGTCCGAAAATGAAAGATGTGACCATCTTAACGGGAGAGAGGAATTGATGTATGAACCAAAGCTTGGAAACACCTAAACTTTTAAAAGTTTATATTCGATACACCTAAACTTTTAAAATTTTCAAACTGTTAACAATTTGTCACTCATACAATATGCCTTTTTAGAGACACGTTGATAATTAGCTTAACAATAATAACAATGTAAGGGAATGTTGGTTGATTAAAATGTAGATGTTTTCATTTGAATTTGTTTCTATTTCTGGATTTAATAAATTAGACAACACTTAAACATGCTAGTCAACACTAGATCATTGTTGGACAATAATAAAATATACATACTCGAAATAGTATTATCATTAATGGAATTCGAATCATCGTTTAATACATGTAAGATAAAGAGAGGGGGAACACCCCACCAAACATTACAATCAGACACAGAACATGCGACTTGAGCAATGCTATGAGCCGCCTTATAGAAGAAAGAAAATCAAATGCATGTAATTAAATAAATTATCCTTAATAGGAATGAGAGGTTCCGCGGCTGATGGGTAAACCCTAGGAGAGTGCGGTTTTCCATCTCTTTCCGATTTATCCAGCAACGGAGAAGATTAGAGCGGTTTTTTGGGATACGTACCCAATTTAGGTGTGATTCAGTCGTTCTTCTTAATTGTTAGGTTTTTTGCTTTGTTGTTTTATCCGGTCGAGGGTTTGGTCCGTTTCGATTGTGAACATGTTTGGGTTTGTGATCGTGTGTTTCGCTACTTCTTTTTCACTGTTTCGGATCTGATGGTAAATTTTGTTGCCATTGATGGAGAGCTCAAATCAAGCTTATGGAAGGATGTTAATTGAAATTGAATAGAGCAGTGGTCTGGTGTTGGAGTCAGTTTTCTTGGAGTACAGCGAGGCAGCAGTGCTACTGGAACAACACCGCCTAAAATACTGATAGATGAGATGATTCCTTTGGAGGTGGCAGGTCAAACCTCATCTCGCTTTCCGATGGCTGGTAAAATGTGGATGCTTCCTTTAGGGATGACTGGACAAACTCTTCTCCCTTCCCGGTGGCTGGTAAAATCGGAATGATGTCTTTGGAGACGGTTGATCAACCCCCCTTGTTGGTGGCTGAAAAACCAGGAGATATGATTTTATATGTTCTTTTCAGTCTAATAACTCTAGTTTTTTGTCAATTTATTTTAGTAGCAAGTACAACGATGCTGTTAGATTAACCTACCAAGATGCGGGGTTAGTGAACTTGTCGTATCCTCAAAGGCTGATCAATTCTAAGTCTCACTTCAGGATGACTTTGAGCTATTGATTTACTTTGTCTCTCGTCACTTACATTAGTATTAATAAATAAGTGTCCTTCTTTGAAAAAGAAAAGAAAAGAAAAGAAAAGAAAATGGATCAATATAATGCAATCTTAATTTTATTACATACTTATGTACATACACCTTGATGATTTGACTCACCAAATTAATTACTAACTTAACTCGCAGATTCATGGATCATAAACATATAGTAAAATTATAATTAAGAGATTTAATTGCAATTCTTCGATTCTATCCAGATTCCTGAATAGAAATAAACTTAAACAATACCAAATTTAAAATTAGAATATACTACGTAATAAATTGAATAACATTACATTATTTAATTAACCAAAACCCAAATAAAGACATTGCAATAGATTTCAGAATCATTTGCGGTGGGGATACCATATTTTTAATGCTTATCTGCGCAATGGTTACATGTGGGGGCTTCGGCCGGGTGTATAAATTAAAGTTACAGGACAAAAATTAAGGAATTGAAGTCCAATATTTAAAGTCAATTTGAGAATAGAACAGCTATATAGATAAAGGTTATTTTTGGAAACAGTGATGGTGAAAGCTGAGGTAACATGTTGTGAGAAGACAGAGTTGAAGAAAGGTCCTTGGAGCAAAGAAGAAGATGAAACCCTCATCAACTATATCAACAATAATGGCCATCTCAATTGGAGATCTCTCCCCAAAAATGCTGGTAATTAATTAAAAATTACATTCTTGTTATATGGTTTTACCGTGATACAAAGATTGAAAAGGTGTTTTATGGTTAAAAAGGTAAGCGTTTGAGGTTATTTAATAAACATAATTTTTCTTCGACACATTTTTTGTACACACTTTTACACACGTTGGTGAGAGACTTTTCATTGTCTATGAATAGTCTGTTAAAGGACAAAAAAAAGGATTCGACCGACGTGTGTAAGAGTATATACAAAAAAAATGTGTACTAATGTTTTTTTTCTTTAAAATTAAGTGGTTTTTATTTGATCAAAATCAAGTCTCATAGCACGACTAGGAATACAAAATATTCTCCTTCCATCCCCAACAACTTAAATATCTTTAGTTTTTTGTATACTCACTCTATTCTTAACAACTTTAATCAATGATATATTTGTATACAGTGTTATTTATAATATAAAAGTGTCCTTTATTAAAATATATTAGTTCTTACAGAAGTATAACATTTCTAAGTTTAAAAAAAAATCCACATCGATTTAAGTAAAACCAGCTGTCTTACAGATTAAGAGGGTGTTTGGTAAACGACGTTTCGGTCGAAAAATGGCGGCTTGACCACTTGCAGCGTTTTTAATAAGTGGAAAAGTTGTTTGGTAAATAGTGATTCGGCACTAGCGTTTTTGGACGAAAATGCTGAAATGAAAACACTGCTAATAGAGGAGTTTTGAGTTGGCGTTTTGAAGAGGTTTAACACGCTACCGGACTAGACAACATCTGACTGTATAAATGGGTCAAACAAACCTTTATAATCTATCATTAATCATGTATGTTAAACAAGTAGTCAAATCACAATCGGACTTAGCTATGATTTTATATTAAAAGTCGGGGTTCCATCAATAACCGTTATATTTACTTGTGTATACATAAGTATTTATAAGTATGTTTTGAAGAAAAAAGAGAAATTGGGATAATACCTTTAGAATGAGAGCTAAAGCATAAAACATTGCGATGAATAGTTTTTTGGACCAAGAAGATGACCTTTTTCTCATGATTTGAGTATAACTTATTGTAAAGAATTCCAAATGACTCGATTCAAATTTCGTGAGATTTATAACTCAATATTCTATAAATGTCATGAAGACGTCATTGCTAGAATATGAAAGGATCAATCAAGACTTAAGATGTTTTCTTTTGGACTGAAATTTTCTGGTCTGGTCTAATATGGTCTGGTTTGAATTGGTCTGGTCTGGTCTGGTCTAGCAAACGTCTGGTCTCTGTGTATTTTATAACTAT